CCTCTTTTTGCAGGAAACACGTGATGTTTGTACTGACCAAGTGACATACTGGTCTATCTGGAGCTGAAATCTGCTTTTCTACTAACCAATAATAACAAAAAAAAGTTTTTTTCTAAATAAATTACATGCCCCTTTGCTGTGTAACGTGCATTTGCCATATCAAGGATTTGGGGTTATCCAATTTCCCCCTGCGTCTTATCTCCTCCTCTGTGCTACTTCCCTACACTCCAGAGCACCAACAAGCCCAAAGCCTCATCTTTTCTCCTTGCTTCTTCAATTTGAAGAAGCTTTCCTTATTTCTTTTCCTCCTGTTCCTTAGCTTCTGTTGTTGCGTGCTTACTTGTTGCAAGGCATTTGAAGCAGCAGTGTGCGATGCAGTCTAGTAATAATGAAAAAGCAATATGACAAGTCCCATGAAATACAAAAACAAACAAAAAACAAAAAAACCTCACACACTCCTTCTCAGCTCATGAATTTCCCTTCTTTCTGCTGCAAGCAGTACATGTTGGAAAATTTGGTGTGGTAGTTGTAGTGTGATTGCTTATACCAAGTCACTGGCAAGATATTAGAAATAGACAATGTTACACAAGATGCGGAACAAAAGTAAACACGTGTGTGGTCCTTGGACAACAATATGTGGGAATATTGAACAAACTGGATAGCTATGGCTGTGGTGCACAAAACAGATTCGGAAAATGTGAATTTACAGCTGTGGTGCAGATGAGTCCTAAATTTGCAATCCTGCACGGAACCGACACCAGGCTGATAGATGCAAACCAATAGCGTTCCTTCTGACCCCTGTGGGCCAAACCACATGGTGTGAATATGTCATCAAAAACCTCCACAAAAAAGACCCCTCTTTAATATGGATGTGCACAAGATTCAGCTGAAGCCTGAGCCATGAATAGAATTTGGTCAGTTGGGGGGGGGGATCCTGGTGTCCCCTAAGCTAGGTTGAGGCAGCCACTGATTGCCTTGGGTCAGGTGGCCCAGAACAATTTGGTGTTGTCAGGGTGAGGGGCATCAGGCGGGCAGGAGAGGCAGACACTGAGCAGGAAGAGGAGAGGTCAGGCAGGGGAAAGGCAAAACCACGAGAAGACCTAGGAGAGTAGGGACATACCTGACTGGTTGTGACTTTCACTTAGAACACTTGTGGTTGAAGGCGAAGGGCAGGTGACCCAAGGAGAAGTCATAGATTTATGAGCAGGAGGGATGCAATATCTGTCAACCAGCAGAAAATAAAGAACCTGGAATGTCACTCCATGTTGAAGATTGTCACACCAAGAAGACAGACCAGGGTACCAGCTGAGTGGGTGTGCGGCCTCTGACCACATATGCACATAAGTATGTACATAATTCAATTGTATGCCAGCTTTCCACAGTTCAAACTATGCTCAAGGCAGCTTACAACATGAAAAAATACATGACTGCAACGCAACAAAAATAGTCATAAACAATAAATTAAACAAGTCCTACATAAATCAAATCTAAACCTAAAATAAAGATACAAAAAAACAAGAGTAGCAATAACCTCCCGCCCCACAATAATAATAAAAAATCCAAACAACTCCCCAGCCCAAGAGTCTGTTCAGCAGTCCCAACTTGTGTAGCTGGAGTCAGTCAGGGCCCCCACCCTCCCAGGCTAGGTGGAAAAAGGCCTACAAGGCAGGCAGGGAGCAGGTCTTCCAGGACTCAAAGCCTAGGTGATACGGGCCAAGGCTTACTCTAGTTTCTGCATAGGATTAGTCCATCAGTTGCAAGCAGCAATCTCCAAGAGGCAGAAGGGAGCTCTTCAAGTGATTGACTAGAAATCAATGTCCCTAGGAAATTCAGATCACTACTGCTGCTGATTCAAGGAGAGTGGTATGATTAGCACACCGTCAACGTAGATATGAACCACAATCATCATCAGATAGGTCACCAAAACCACCAGGACCTTAGTGAAGATCCTGGGTGTGGCCAAGACTGGTATTGGTGTGATCTACAACCATAGGCGCCGACTCCATGGGGCTTGAGGGGGCCCGAGCCCCCTCAAAAATTCGTTTGGGGGGGCTCCGCCCCCCCAATAATCTCCGGCGCCCCTCCAGCAGAGCGCCATCGCCGCCCCTCCCCCAGCCCAAAATGCACAGGGAGGGGCGGGCTGCATGCCTCCTGCCCTCCCTCCCGAGCAAAAGCTCCACCCAATTTCCTTTGGAGCTGATTAATAGGCGCAGCACGCTCTCCCCTATTCGCTCACGAGGAGGCGGCGCCACTTTATTTGCATATTCATGAGCTTATTTATTATTCATGAGCTTTCCCGGGCCCCCCCAATATTTTTTATAAGTCCGCGTCCCTGTCTACAACTGAACCTCAGGGAGGGCTGATGACGTTGTTAGAAAACGTCTTACTTGGTACCATTTTCACCAACAATTAAGCAACAGGGCCATGAACTCTTCTTTAAAGAGTGCAGCTTTTCATTCCTTTATTACATGAATGCCAGTCAGTGCGAGAATGAGTTAAAGGGTTTGCTAAACTGAAATTAACAGTGAATATGATACATCCTGTTTAGTCTAAGCCAATCTCTAAGCAGATCTGTTGTTTGCTTTCATGTTGCCCTCCTGCCCGTGTTTTACTTATTTTGTTTGTGAGATTGGCCATGTCTGTTAGAAGATGCTCAGAGGCATACATCAACCAGAAGCAGGAAAGCAATAGAATAGGAATATTCTGGCTTATGAATGCCCACACACCGGTTTGCATATTGTTTGGGGAAATGTGAAATGTCTTTGCCTTAAAATGCAAACTGAACAGATTTTCTCCCCCCGCTGAGTGTTTGCTTGCCCTGCAATCAACCGCCACATGATGCCAACCACACCGGACCCCAAACAAATACTCAGCTCAGACATGATTCAAGTTTCCAGAGAAGATTGAGTACAGAGTGCTTCAGGGGAAGCAGCAGCCACTACTTCATAGTTCCCTTCCATCCTTTCATAAACAGTGGGCTGGTGGCACTGGTGGTGGAGGAGGAAAAGAATGGTGCCCCTGGGAGCAGCAAGGAGGAGCTTGGCAGAAGGGGAAGCAACTTCCCTCTGAAATGCAGGATGAAGCCAGCATCCCTTGGCTCTGGTGATGGGAAGGCAGACAGGTCAACACAGACAAGCACCCCACAATACTCTGTAGAGCTGAGATAGTGGAGAGCCTGCAGCCTGCCTCTTTATATTCAAGACAGTGAGTTACAACAAGGGAACCCTCCTCCTACTCCCCCAGTGTTTTCATTCGTAATCTGGAGTAAGCATGGTAAGATCGCTCTCTCTTGAAATGAGTCATTTCCTTTGATGCAGCCCTTTAGTTAGCCACCTGCAGGAAACCTCATCTGCAATAGCTGGTTTTGAAAAGGTAGCTGTGGATTGTGCCTGTCGCTCATTCATCTCCTTGCAGCAGCTGGATCTTAAACTCCCGGTACGGATGAGACTTTGAGAAGGAACATCAACGGACCTGCCCACAGACAGACATATCTGGTGGTGGAAGGTTTTCCGAGTGGCTGCCATTCAAAGAATGTTTGTTTGTCAAACAATACACTCCACGCATACTGCAGCAATCGCTCAGGAGACCTTCATCCCGGGGGGAAAGAGAGAGACCTCACTAAAATGAAAAGTGGTGGAGGACCTCTGCAGCTTTGGAAGAGAGACTGTGAGCTGGCAATTTGGCTGGGAGTTGGGGGAGAGTAGTAAGAGAGATGTGCTTGGGAATTGTGAAGTGGATGTGTGTGTGTGTAACTGTAGACCAGGGCTGGCTCTGCCCTTGGGCAGCGAGGAAGCTGTCTCAGGCAGCTAATTCTGGGTGCCCTGAAAGGGGAACAAATTGTTACCTTTTCTGTTATGTACTGAAGTTCTCACCCTGGGCCAGCAGGGGGATACTGTAGATAGTTTTCACTCAGGTCCACATATGCGAATAAGGGATTGAAAGTGACATTCAGTGATTGGATAGCTACAGAAAATGGTTACTGTTGCGTTCTAGTGGAGCTCTATATAAGCAGGCTGGCTGAACCCTTCAGTTCAGTTCTGTGTTCTGGCCTGTGAATAAACAAGAGCTGTTTGAAGAATTGCCGTGTCATCTGATATGTTCCCCCACAACTTAACATTTTCATTTTTCAAAAACAATCTTTTTATCCCCAGGGAGAAATGCTAGTTGGAGCTTCTTCCTCAGAAACCAAAATACCTTGGTGTGCCTTGGGTATTATTGTATCTGAACTGCCGGCCTACTGTGGGGCACCAGCAATCATCATGTATTACCCAGATGAACATACAAAACTGGGCCTGACCTAATAATGTTTGGAACTACTGTAGTTCGGAGCAGACAGTTGTTTTATGGATCCAGAGTTGCTGTAAACTCTGTGGAGAGAAGCCAAAGAAGAAAGCCAGTATGAGGACTAGAATGAGATCAGCGCCCAAAACGGACAGGGCTTAGAATAAGAACCAATAAATAAATTTTGTGGAAACTTCTGTTTCTTTAAGTTTGCCACAGTGTTTTGCTGCCATCTAGTAGCAGATTTGTAAAAGTGCAGTTCATAAAATAACTTGTTATTTTGATTGCTGCCGGCTGAGCAGAATTATTTACGGTTGACTCTTTTATGCGCACTTACGAAATGCACATACAGGCTGAAGTAATACAGTCCTTAGAACTTCTGACAGCCTGTCCATCAGTAACAGTTGTTGTTTGCCCCCAAGCCTTTTACTTTATCCTTAAGGAGTGAGCAGGGCTTCGTGGCAAGCTGGAAATCCAATTTCATGGGCCCGGCCAGCAAAACAGAACAGGAAGATGGGAGGTGCTGGTTTGGTGTAATGCTTAGAGTGGTGGACTAAGAATTCACACTCACAGGGTACACTTAGGCCAGCCACATCTCATAGCTTCACCTCCAGTGGAGAGTTGCCACAAGGATAAAATGGAGGACCAAGAACCTTCTACACTGTATTGAGATCCTTTGAATAAATTTATTTAATAACCATATAATAAGAAACAGGAGCTTTGGGTAAGTAGAGCTGAGGAAAGTGAGATGGGAATGACTTGGCATGGTTGGTGCCACATCTACACGGATAAGCTTTCCAGATGGTAGTTTTGCTATGGTAAGGAAGAAAACAATGGTACAAATAACTTTACTTTTCCACATTATGTTTATAAAACAATATTTTTATTAGTTAGGGTACAGCATTATTTTAAAAAACACCATAGCATGAATGCAGATAAAAACATTACAGAAGAATGAATCTCCCAGCCTTATATTGCTGTAATAGAGAGAGAGAGAATAAAGCAAAATGGCAAGCTGTAGCTGTCAGCTGAATTTCTGAAGCTATTTTATGGCTGTCTACACGTCTTCTCTAGTGCTGTAAACATGCAGCTTCCGACACATGAAGCAAAGGGGGATTCTAGAAGATCCTGTACGTTAGACTAGTACGAAGCTCAAGAGGCCTGTCAAGTAACGTGCGCCTAGTCATAGGACAGTCACCACCGCAGTCACATCATGGATGACAGATAAAGACATTAGGGCAATGGACAAGCAGGGTGCAAGTGGTACAAAACATCAGCAGATAAGGGGGCTACTCTGATGTGCTGCCACCGAGCAATCTTCTCAGAAGGGGTAGAGGAGGGGGCCTGTACATCTGGGCCCCTGGCTTGGGAATCAATGGTAAAGACACAGCAAACCATTTGGCTGGCACACGAGAAATACTAGCCTAGTCCCAGCCTTTTACTTTAAGTCTTAGAATCTCCCAGAGCATCTTTCTTCTAACCTTGGCCTCTAATGCAATATCAGGGCTGTGAATGACATTGCCTTCACTAGTGGGTTGGGTTGTTTTTTTAAGCCCAATAGTTAACGTAAAGCAATTTCACTTTATTCTAGATACTGTTGAACTCTGTACCCTAGCATGCTCTGCAGGAGGAAAACCCATACTCCTTTCTCCTAGCAATCACAACTTTCAAGTCACAAGGCCAAACATCATACCAATGACATCCATGCTCATATGACATTCAGACACCATGGTGTGTTTTTTAAAAGCTTTTTAATTTTATTTTAAGGAAAGCGTTGTCCCCAGAATCCAACTGCAAATTCTAAAGACTTTTTATGCACAAGGCTTAAAGCAGGGCATGCGTCAGTCAGGCTTGTGAATGTAAAGTCTATGATGCCTATTTGTGTCATATGTGCATCTTTTCTGCATTATCAAACATAGCTATAAATGGCAGGAGAGGCTGGAACACAAGCGAAGTTTCAACTTTGATAGCAGCCTAAAACAATGTGACTTATTGCTTAGTAAACATACCTGGCACACTAATTTACAAGGCCTATATAAGCCACAAAGATAGGATAAGAAGCCTTGAAATCATGTGTTAGATCTGAGTTCTAAAATAGAATAATTCAAAACATTTGTGTAAAAATGGTCTCATCAGATAGCAGTAACTGGATGTTCATGGCTCCTGGCATTGGCAGTATTGGTAAGAGGGGTTTTTCCAGTAAATGAGACATGACTCTGAAATTAATTCTACCGCAACTCAGTTCTGTAGCCATAGAGTGGGGTTTAGTCATCAGCATTTAATATTTATAAAAGGGTCCACACTGAACAAGGAGCTGTACGTCAAAACAAATGCATAACAAGTCCCAGCCAGGAGTTCACGATCTAATAATAGCTAGTGATGCTTAGAAGCAGAGACTGGCTTGTTTAGTCAAGGACTGACTTCTTTTCAAAGGCAATGGAATGTCACCCAAAGCCAGTACTACTGACACACACAGGCTGCAATATTATACAAACTTACCTAGTCATAAACCTTGCTTCTGAGTACACATGAATGGAACTGTAGTGCCATTTTCTTTAGCCTCCACCAATCTCTGAAAAAAGAACATTCTCAGGGCCATCCTATACATGTCTACTCAGAAGTAAGTCCCCAATGCCATTTACTTCAAGGAGTGCTGCTACCTCAGTGTATGTTCATATAGGGAGCAAATAATGCCCCCTTTAGAAGTTTCTAGAACTTAATCCTAAAGCCTATCTGCAGAGTATATGCCCAATTAAAGACAGCAGAGTGGCTTGCACTGTTTCAGGCAGCGGCAGCAAAGCCTTTCTATCAAACTAAGGGCCCAAAATAGCTACACCACAAGAAAAGAGCACCTGGAGAATCCCTCAAATTCTCCAGCCTTTCATCTGAAATAAGATGCAAGCACATCCACACAAAGGCAAGATGCAAGCAAGGAAAGAAATGGAACACCTGCTGCAAATTACAAAGAAGATACATGTGAACTGCTTGGAACACTCAAGAAAGCGCAATGCGTATACAGAGAATTATCAAATTGCTTAGGCCAGTAGTCAATTTATCACAAATATAAAAACAAAATGCTGTTTCTGTGCTTCCTGTTAGTCACAAACTGTGCACTGGAGCAGCTTCTTCAACCTTGTGCTCCTAGGTGTTGTTGGGACTGCAGCTCCTACCATTCATGACCATTGACTAAGGTGGCTGGGGGTTATGGAAGCTGTAGTCCCACAACATCTGGATATCCAAGGTTGGAGCTGGAACATGTGCTGGGAAGCATTTTTGCATCATTCCTTTCAAAGGGACATCCAGCAGTGGGCCCAGGGATCCCTACTTTCTGCTAAAAGGTAGCTGGATGGAACAAAAACAGTTTAGATATGGAAGCTCGGTTTGTGTCAGAACTTGCTCCAGAAGGGGATGAGGTTGGGCATCTCTTTGGGCCTGTAAATTGACAAAGGGTCCACTGTCCAAACAGTGCCACTGATCTCACTTTCCACATTCTCTATTTTTGTGCCTCATCTCTTCCAGGTAAAGGAATTCTGTAGATACCCTCCTTGAGGGTCCCTGAAATCTATGAGCCAACATCAGTTCATATAAACACCCAGCGTAATGAATAGGACTGTTTTTGACCACAAGAATCTGCGAAAGCTACTGTGATATGATTCCAAACATCCCAGTACAGAACTCAACACTTTTTCTGGAATTTTTAGAGCATTTCTGGTCCTCATTCCAGTATAAAATATGTACTTTTAGACTCCTGTATGGTATTTTGCCTGTTGTGTGTCTGTGCCTTGACAGAACCAAAAATATTGGTGTTTTGAGAAGCCTGAAAATTGTCATAGAAACAGGAAAAATTAATCAGATTGTTTGAAGGTTAAAGGTCTTGCACATAGATCTGTCATATTTAATTTGAAATCTAATTGCTACATGGAGCGAGGATACCATACTTGCCCATAAGGACTATTTTTAGGTGGGTTTGTAGATTTGGCTAACTGTAGGCAGGTGTGTTTTTTAAAGGACACTATTATTATGGAGATAACATCATGGAATGAAGAAACACCACTTCCCAAGACTGTAGGAAGGGTTAAAGGGAACGCATCTGATCAAGCATCAATAGGATCAGGGAAGCAATCATCCACCGTTTCCAGGGCTTCAGTGTCAACCATGACTTCTCGAAATGCTGTTTCAACATCTTCCTCTGTTTTAGTCTCCAGTGCCAGCTTAGGTTGAACTGTAGGATTTGGGTCTGTCTTGTGCTCTGGTTTAAAACTCTCACAGGTCTCAGGACCTTTAAAGGAAGCACAAGTTAGAATGTGCTATAAGAATGAATTAACATAGTCTCAGATCTCAATCTTTACTATAATCTTCAACAAAGTCTTCATCTCAGCTTTCCTTTTGCCGTTTTCTTTTTTAATTTTTGATTTATAGATTTATATCCCATCATTTAAACAGAAACCTCCTCACAAGGCGTGTATCAGTCAAACAACTAAATCATCATCATCATCAAATAAGAATGTAAGAAGAGTTCACTGGATCAGACCAAAGGCCCATCTTGTCTAGCATCCTGTTCTCACAGTGGCCAACCAGATGCCTGAGGAAAACCCACAAGCAAGACCCAAGCACAAAAGTACTTGTCCCACATCATTTAAAACGTAAACAATGGTGTGAATGGTTGACAAATATATTGAAACAGCCATCAGTCCCAGTAAAACCTTATAACTACAACACAATCACAATAAAACATCTCACAAAACTTCGTCCAATTGAAATCATTATGGAAGAGCCCCAGTGTACAAGCGATTATTGTGGAGGAACTCTGTATGATTCCATTTGGCCATGTGGGGGGTGCTCTACATGTTACTCTACTGTTTTGTGGAATGGCCACCACACAAAAATTGTTGCATGTGGCTTTTAGAGGGTCACCGTTTCTGCATCCCTGAACTATGCAAATACATTTAGTCCCATACAGCTTTGCTCTTTAACAACAACAACAACATAACTGTACCTACCAGGATTGGGGGTGCTGGCAACAAGGGCATCTGTGGTTTCACAGGGGTCTCCATTAGGAGGACTCTTTGGTTCTTCACTGGAAATGGCAGACAGGGTTATCCCCTCATCCTTTTCATCTTCTGTTGGAAAGCATAATGAGAGACTGAAAGGGGGCAAATCAATTAATCAATTAATATGGGTGAGGTGGAGTTTTGGCTTTGTGGGTATTCCTTCACCAATGCTAATTGCTGTCTACTAAACTGCACCCGGCCTCTCCATAAAAAACCCAAAGCACCCCCAAAAAAATTCCCTGTACAATTGCCATGCTTCACAGACCAAAATAGCAGGTGCCCTATTTTACATCAGAAGTGGCTAACCTGTGGCCCTCTACTGGATGACATCTCATCCAAGAGAACATTGGCCAGGTAGGCTGAGGCTTTGGGGAGCTGAAGTTCAGCAACATCTGGAGGGTCACAGGATCCTCGCTTTCACCTGTGCATTTAGTTAGGATTGAGGAATTGTTCACATGTAACTAAACTGTTGATTATTTTTATGAGGATGAGCCAGTAAAGGGCACTAAGAGAATAAGAATTATAGGCAAAGAGGAGAAGAGAACTACAAAAATGCATACAGTGAATTGTGGGTATAAGCAGTTTAATTCCAACTTGTATGAACTCTAGGTAAAGAAGGGCAAGGTCTCCAGATGGTCTCCTGATGCCTGGATTTTTTCCCATGTGGATTCTCCTAAACTTCAAGAACAAATTGTGGAACTGGTGCCTCTTGTTCTGGTGATGCCAGAACTGAGTTCTTGCCAGAGGCCTAATCATGCAAGGATACCTACAAAATGCAACACCTTGATGTCAACATCACCAGCATCAGGATTTTTGGTGCCTATAGGCAAAACTTATCATGGTGAAGCCTCTGTATCCCTTCTGTTCCCATGGCATATTATGAGACCATTTCTAGTTGCAACAACATACGTTAAGAGGAGTGTAAGGAGTTAGGGTGAAGGATTTTGAAGAAATATCAGGTAGGCATGATAAGAAATTTGGAAGATAGATCCCATGGTGCAGGGTCCCTTCTAACAGTTCTATGATGTTATGTGCCGAAGGAGCTGCATACCTACAAGATAGGTTAGGATCATATATAATTATTATTATTATTATTATTATTATTATTATTATTATTATTATTTATTTGTACCCCGCCCATCTGGCTGGGTTTCCCCAGCCACTCTGGGCAGCTTCCATAGAAACCAAAGATACAGTAAAATATCACAGATTAAAAACTTCCCTGAACAGGGGTGCCTTAAGATGTCTTTTGAATGTCAGGTAGTTATTTATCGCTTTGACATCTGATGGGAGGGCATTCCACAGGGCGGGCGCCACTACCGAGAAGGCCCTCTGCCTGGTTCCCTGTAGCTTTGCTTCTCGCAATGAGGGAACCGCCAGAAGGCCCTCGGCGCTGGACCTCGGCGTCCGGGCAGAACGATGGGGGTGGAGACGCTCCTTCAGGTATACTGGGCCGAGGCCGTTTAGGGCTTTAAAGGTCAACACCAGCACTTTGAATTGTGCTCGGAAACATACTGGGAGCCAATGTAGGTCTTTCAAGACCGGTGTTATGTGATCTCGGCGGCCGCCCCCAGTCACCAGTCTAGCTGCCGCATTCTGGATTAGTTGTAGTTTCCGAGTCACCTTCAAAGGTAGCCCCACGTAGAGCGCATTGCAGTAGTCCAAGCGGGAGATAACTAGAGCATGCACCACTCTGGCGAGACAGTCCGCGGGCAGGTAGGGTTTCAGCCTGCGTACCAGGTGGAGTTGGTAGACAGCTGCCCTGGATACAGAATTGACCTGCGCCTCCATGGACAGCTGTGAGTCCAAAATGACTCCCAGGCTGCGCACCTGGTCCTTCAGGGGCAATATGAATAAAATCAGCTAAATGATCCTTGGTCCCTAAAACAAGAATGATGTAACCTTATGAGAAATATACCTTTGCAGAAATGCAGTCAAGTGTATAACCTGAGAGGCAGGCTGGGATATGGGCAAAGGAAACATGGAAAGTAAATATGAGCTTTATTCTGGCTGGTTGCAAAATCTGCCTAACTTCAGAATTGTCACTTTTGTCACAGAGTGTAAACAACTGCAGTTATAGGAGGAGCTTAGATTCATCAACAACAGGCATCCCCAAACTCGGCTCTCCAGCTGTTTTGGGACTACAATTCCCATCATCCCTGACCACTGGTCCTGTTAGCTAGGGATGATGGGAGTTGTAATCCCAAAACTTAGACATGCTAGCCACATGACCCGGAAGCTGTACGCCAGCTCCCTTGGCCAGTAAAGTGAGATGAGCGCCGCAATCCTAGAGTTGGCCACGACTGGACCTAATGGTCGGGGGTCCCTTTACCTTTTTTAAAAAAATCTACAATAACCTTTTTTTTTTAAAGAATGTAACTGTGGTTACAGGGACGCGGGTGGCGCTGTGGGTAAAAGCCTCAGCGCCTAGGGCTTGCCGATCGAAAGGTCGGCGGTTCGAATCCCCGCAGCGGGGTGCGCTCCCGTTGTTCAGTCCCAGCGCCTGCCAACCTAGCAGTTCGAAAGCACCTTCGGGTGCAAGTAGATAAATAGGGACCGCTTACTAGCGGGAAGGTAAACGGCGTTTCCGTGTGCGGCTCTGGCTTGCCAGAGCAGCGATGTCACGCTGGCCACGTGACCCGGAAGTGTCTCCGGACAGCGCTGGCCCCCGGCCTATAGAGTGAGATGGGCGCACAACCCTAGAGTCTGTCAAGACTGGCCCGTACGGGCAGGGGTACCTTTACCTTTACCTTTAACTGTGGTTACAGGCCCATGCATTGCTTACATGGGGAATAAATGCCACTGGACTTCTACGTAAACATGCAATAGGATTGTGCTGCAAAATACAACGCAAAAAAGAAGAGGGGAAACTGTTACTCACCCGCAGGCACTGGAGTGAAATGATGCTTGCTCTTCATGCAGCAGCATGTGATCAGTGAGGCAATAATGGCCAGAAGGAGAGCACCCCCTCCACACGCTACCATAATATACAGGAAGTGCGGGTGCTGCAACAGATCTCCTGATTGAAAGAAACAACATTGTTCTTAAGCAGTAAAGAAACAGGAGCAACCTAAAGACAGGACTCAGGGTCACCACAATGTTAAAGGTGTCTTTGCCTATAATATGCAAGGTGTGTGGGGTTTTTAATGCAAATAATGTTCGTGGGGAGAAGACCACTGTTAGTTATCAGAATCCTACCAGGCATGTAAGGATGCTTCTAGACTGCTACTATTTGGGGGTGGCAAATTCAGGTTGCAGTCACACCCATATCATACATTTAAAGCACATCTAAAGCATCTGACTTCCCCACAAAGAAGCCTGTGAATAGTAGTTTGTTAAGGGTGCTTTAAATCACTGGTCTTCGGCTGATGGGTTGGGACCCACTAGGTAATAAGCTACCCTTTGATCCTTCACATCTCATTTTACTTGAAATAAAATTTACTTACAAAAGAACATGATTCAGTCTGCCTCCCACTTCACTTAGATCAAACTTTAAAAAAACCACTTAAGGCTGGAAACATTCCATTGAGACATAATACAGTAATCCACTTTATAGCCTAGTATGCTTTGCTTCCATTTTATATTTTAGTTCCTAGGAATTGAAGTGGCTTTCAGTCACTAATATTTACATTTATTATTATTAAAAAATATTTTTATCCCCACCACCACTGCTTTTGGAAGCCAAGAGGTTCCTGGGTTCATTCTGAATTATGGAGTGCCAACAGGGTTTTCCAGACCTGGTCCACTCAGTGTGGGTTGCCTGCTGTACCCCACCTATCTAGTTGCAACAAGGCCAGCCCTTCCATTAGGCAACACAATTTGAGTATCAAAAAAGGGCAACAACTTATTAGTTATTTAATTTGTTGTCATTGTATTTTTACAAAGGAGAGGTTTTCTGTCTCAGGTAACAGGAATTCATGGCACCATTTCCTGGTCAGCTGCAGACAGCAAAATGTGCTGTCCTGGCCCAAATAGGTAGGAATTATCCTCCTTTGTTATGTAAAAAACATACCCATAAATTCAAGAAAAAGGAGGGTCCAGAACAAAAGACCCAGCACTCAACCCCCCTCACCCATGGAGCATAGGGGATATCATCATGAGATGCATAGAAACTTATTCAGACAGACATACAGTGCCCATTTTAAACCTTCATCACATGAGGAGGCCCCTGTTTGCTGATTCTTGCGGCTGCTGCTACATCTCTCTAGGTCTGTAAAGGTTGGAGAGTGCAGAAATAGTTCCCTGTGACTGAGGGGATTGAACTGCACAGTTACTGCACCATAAATATCAAAGCCACGCACGACTGCTTGCAGTTAGCAGTCTGTGAGCAACCCATTGACTGCAATCCATTCAAAACATTCAGGGGGCAATAGGTATCCAATAAATTGCATTCTCTGTTTGCTTGTTTTTATTTCAACTGCCTGGTCCAGGACATAGACATTAAAAAGCAAAATACATTGCCAAAATGATGAATGATTTACCCTAACCATGAATGTCAGGTAAAGGAGATTTTATTGTGAGCTACTAATATTTCTGGTTATTTTGCAATGAATATCTAGGCAAGAATCACAAGATGGGGCCAAAACGGAAGCTGAGCCTTGGAGCATTCAGCTAATTATGCTGAGGACTGCTGTGTCAGTTGTGGTGCTGGTAACAGAAAGATTATTACATCAGTTTCAGATGTCTCTCGGTGACTTTTTAATGCTGACAGACCTATGCTGTCTAAAATGTTCCTTCAGCAGCCAGTCATTTTAATGATTGCTTTGCTTTGCTTTTATTTTTATTTTACTTTTATTTTGTCATACACTGCTCTGATGTTTGTGAGATGGAAATGTGTGTGTGTGTGTGTGTGTGTGTGTGTGTGTATTTCTGGGAAACATGTTAAAATATGTTGTAAGATGTATTCAGACATGTTTTTCCCACTTTAACATTATTATTAAGTTCTCCAATATACAGAGGAACAAGAAATAAATAAAAAAAGTTGCCCCCCCCAAAAAAAATCATCACAGCCTGGAAGAAAAAAATGAGAATGCTGTATGGAACAAAGTAAATAACAAACCATCATTTTTCAGAGGGCCTTTCACCAAAAGTCTTTAAAATAAGCATGAAAAAGGAAAGAAATACCCTCCCTTGTGTGTCTGTTAATTTTCTATTAAGGTCCAGAAATTAAATTTAATATCTAAAAGCTTTACAAAATCCCAATATCTGCATATGCGGGTGGGACCAAATGTCCATGTTCTTTCAGATTCGTGTATAATATAAAGTCATTCCACATGGCAAAGTAATGGTCACTAGTGATTTGGCCTCCCATTAGCCCCTGTCAACACGGCCAAAGGTCAGGGATGATGGAAGGAGCTGTCCAACAATGTCTGGAGAGCACCCAGTAAGTAGGCAGGGGGCTGCTTCATGAATGAAGGAAAATGATTTTGTGTTGGTGAGTCAGAGAGACAGATCTGCTGATATATAAATTCAAATAACACGTTGAACACCCATAAGAAGAAGGTAAAATATAACTTACGATCGTTACCACCATTACATGACAGCTCAATGGAGGAGCTGCTGCAAGCGTTTCTTCTATGGCAAGCGAGCTTTCCCTGTACCCCTTTCCCCAAAATAATGCTCTTGTCACCATCTTTCACACAAGCATCAACATCATGTATTATTCTCCCATTTCGAGTCCAGTAAACTCCATCATTGAATTGACCATCTGCTTCACAGGACAAATTTGCTCTTCCATCAGGTAGACAATTGATATAAACAGCTGGAGGCTTCTCTAGGCAGTGGAAAGAGAACAACAAAACAGAGAGAAAAATGTTACCATGACAGGACAGTGGGAACCATCATCTGAACCTTTCGGTTTTTTTCATTTAATCCCCTATGACCTCCTTCAACTATATATAACATTCAGTGGATCCTAATGGATTTTTCTTGCTGTTTGCTTCCGGAGAAATTGAAAGCTCCTCATGGTCCTTGTAAACAGACCTGCTCCTCTACTAAAATTTACCATCTTCTAAATTGGGATTCCAGGAATCTTTGAAAGCAAATCACATGGACTGCAGGTTCCTATTAACTAAAGTGGTGCTTCAGGTTAAGAACCCTCGCCAGCAGTGATATTGAAGTACAGTGGTACCTCAGGTTACATACGCTTCAGGTTACATACACTTCATGTTACAGACTCTGCTAACCCAGAAATATAACCTCAGGTTAAGAACTTTGCTTCAGGATGAGAACAGAAATCCTGCTCTGGCAGCATGTCAGCAGCGGGAGGCCCCATTAGCTAAAGTGGTGCTTCAGGTTAAGAACAGTTTCAGGTTAAGAACAGACCTCCAGAACAAATTAAGTATTTAACCCAAGGTACGACTGTAGAATAGAATGCCTCATTTTATCTGAGGCATGTTGGAGGGTACGCTTTTAGTCATTAGGCTGTGACTCTCCAAGTACTGCTGGACGACAGCTGCCATCATACATGTTTTTGGCCCTCCAACATAAGCTGAAGGTCCACAGGTTCCCCATCTGTGTTTTAGGCTAAATATCACTGAGTTTAAGCTTAAATTAAAGTGCACTTATTTGTGGATCACAAATTAAGGCTGCATGCTTCCTTGGAATTAATTCCCATTGAACACCGGCACCTATTTTCTGAGTGAGTATGCTTAGGATCACACAGTGCGTTTGAAGCAGAACCGGCAATTAATCAACCTCTTTGATTTTGCCATTGTCGATTCCAAAATGAGGATCCTGACCACAAGGAATGGATAGAATTATGTCAATTTCAGTTTCTCTCAGCTACTCGTTTTTCCCATCTTAAATTTAGTGCTCTATATTTCCACATCAGTTTGCCAACGCTTTTCAAAAAGTCCTCATGAAAATCTATTGGCTTGTTGATACAAATTTCTCTTTGGGGTAAGGAATTTCTGCAAGCAATTTCCCCTGAACACAAAGTAGTTTTGTATATTGATTTCACTAAGATATGAATATATTCTAGTATATGCACTTTTGTGCATATACTACCTGGCTGGAGAACTGCTAAGCTGCAAATGAAAAGAAGTGCAGGTTTTGAAGGATGTCTGTGTTTTGATTCATGCATTGTTTCAGAAAGTGCTGATTCGGTATAAAACGCAAACAGGTATTAGATGCAAATGAAATCAGTTCCCATGAAAACTGATTCCAATTTATCCCCCATCCCTACTTACCACACACTTTGAGCAAGAAAACTTCACTGTCATTTCCAAAAGCAAATGTATATTTCCCCTCATCTTTTTCTGATAAATTCGTCATCTCTACAATCCCGTTCCTCAGGCACAGCCTTTTGTCACAATCATTGCAACAGTCCATCGTAAAATTCTCCGGCTTAGAACAGTTCGTTTCTTTCATTACTAGGATGCCACTTCGATTTTTAATTTCCAAAGGAAAAGAAACATCGCCACCAGCGTCGCCAAAAAGCTGTTTGAGGTCCATACAAGTCACACCTGCAACAGTAATAAAAGATTTAAGTAGATTTTTTTTAAAAAAAAAAGCAGTTTATAAACACTATTAAATAAATAAATACATATTAAAAACCACAGTAAGTCTAATCAAAGAGGTAAGACTGTGGTCACAGAAAAAGATGAGCAACCTCTCAGTCGAAGAAAACATACGAGAACAGTATTCTTCGTTTTTCCCCCTTTTTAGCTCATAGCTTCATTTTATCTGAGTGAAAAGTCAGGGTGTGGGATGGAATCAACTCAATATTGGTTACTAAGACTGAAAGCCTTAATTCATGAAATAGTGCAGTTTATAATTTTATATGAGTGCTGATCCTTTCGAAGGATACTTGATGAGCCTTTGCTGTAAATAAATGACCTAAATGTAGCTTTTAATACAGGTAACATTTAATATATTTTTACAAGAAAGTATGTGGTTTGTCGGTTGAATAAGTGTTGTTTTTCATGTAGCTTAAACTGTCACCCATAGTGTGTATGTATTTGAATTCATTACTCATTGGCCTCAAAAAACGTTAAATGACTTCATATGGTCCACAGATTTATACTGATTACACCATAGAATGTTTAGAAATGGAAATAATCACCACCTACTTAGTAGTTTAAGGGAAAAAAGAATCTAAGCAGTGTTTGCAAAACTGGATGAATTCAGGCTAGTTACTTTCCCTCACTACAATTCACTGTCTCCAAAATCATGCACAGATATTGAAAAGGACTTGGAGTATTGTTTTCAAAAGGATTTTAAACTGGAAACCTCTGTATATCAGACTTGATTTTGAGATGTTTTCATCAAGTATTCTAAATTATTTGTTCAAGGTCATGCCGAGAGACAAGAAAAGAATCCCGGAATCATTGTGTTGACCACCACCCCTCACGAAAAGCCCCGCAACCTCTTATTTCTCTTGCATTTACAAATGCAGTACATCAGGCGACATGGTTGCAATTAGTTTATGAGAAAATCTGTCTTACTTTGGAGTGACTGTCCATTTTCATGCTTTGGCGGTTATGACACCAGTATTTCCCTGAGTCCCGTCGACTAGGAGAGGGGTGGCGGGGGGGTGAAATCTGAACGAAGAGGATCATTTCTGCTCACCTAGGCAAAGCAATGCCAATTTGATAAAAGAAAATTCCCACTTACCATCAGAAATGGTCAGAATCACCAGCACGCATGGCAAGGGAAAAGAAAAGCGGAAATCCATTTTAAGCACCTTCTTGCATCGTGTGCTGAGAAGAGGATCTGGCTTTGCTGTTAAACCAACGCACTAGTCAGGAAATGATGTCAGAAGCAGGAATTTAAAAAAAGAAAAGAAGAAGAGCATATACTGGAGGGATGCAAGACTAATGTACAGTCAAAACAAAGCAGAAGGGTGTTTGGTTGACTGACCTCATGCTTTAGCCACATCACCTTGATGATCTATTTCTATGGCCCTGTATGCAGGAACTGGGGTGTGTAAGAATAAGATTCAGAAGGGGTGGTGAAATAGTGCTCTAAGCAAGTCCATCAGAGCCAACAGGACAGAGCTAGCAAGAATCCCAAGCAAATCCTGATATTGTGCCACTGAAGCCCTTTGTTGACTGATATAAACACGAGAGTGCAAAATGCAAGGCAACATAAACAATCTAATCCCACTAACAGTAACCTTAACTTAATCATACTGAGTTGTATTCAACTACTGTATGTCATACGCAGAGGATGCCCATTGAAATCAACTAACTTTTACCCAGAGTAGACCTATTGAAATGAATGGCCATAAAGAAGTTGGGACCATTCGTTTCAATGGCTCCACTCTGGGCTGGCGAGGTGAATCCTGCCCAACAGAACAAGCTAGATTCAACCAACTGAAGTGGATTCAGACCAAAAGCTGCAGCGCATATCGGTAGTGTTTGTGTGTGTGATCACTCTATATGCTTTGAGCATCAATGATAACTCAAAGAATTCTGTACCTTTGTAGATGGAACCAGCAGGACAAGCCCCAAATGCATGAGGTCTTCTTTCTGATGACAAATATTCAACCATGAATGAACTGTGCTGTATATGAAATTAATCCAAAACTTTGGCCAATTTAGAAAAGATACAAATATGGCGCTCTGTGTTAACTCAATTTGATACAGCAGCAGTATAGTGCAGTGGTACCTCGGGTTAAGTACTTAATTCATTCCGGAGGTCCGTTCTTAACCTGAAACTGTTCTTAACCTGAAGCACCACTTTAGATAATGGGGCCTCCAGCTGCCGCTGCGCTGCCGCGCTGCTGGAGCACGATTTCTGTTGTCATCCTGAAGCAAAGTTCTTAACCCAACGTACTATTTCTGGGTTAGCAGAGTCTGTAACCTGAAGTGTCTGTAACCTGAAGCGTATGTAACCCAAGGTACCACTGTAGTTGTAGCATACATATCGCTGTGGAAGATTATCCTGTTGCAAATACCTCTGATAAGACTTTGCAGATACTCACATATGCCTCAGTTGAGAGGGTCATAGTAATGCCCCCCCATATGTGTGTGCAATGCATGTGTTATCCCCCACTAGAAAAGTGCACTCTCACAAGAATGGCCAGGCCCAGCTTCACAGTCAGCATTCTAGAGGATACTGCCCACCCCCCCAAAAAAGCTACCAAACTCTGTCTCTACAGGGTTGGCTGAAGGTCAGGATAACTATTCTGTCTCTACCACACGCACATACAGTGGGACAGGGGGGGGGACCTCGCTGTGATCTAAGATGCGACAAAAATAGCCTTCTGTGAGAAAGGCAGTGATCTGAAACTTCAGACATCTGCAGGCCAGTGGAGAGAAAGAGAAAAGACATCTGCAATTAAGAAGTCACCCATGGGTGCACTTGCCCTTTATATATATTTTTAGACCAGAACCGTGCGACTGCAACCTAAATGTGGACCCCACCATCCTGCCCTAAGTGAATGCACTTGATTGGGGAAAGGCTCTATATTGCATCCAATAATAATTCTGAAAAGCAACAGAGGAATGAGGAAGAAACCAGCTCTCACCATTTGGGAAACATCAATTTTAGGCTACTATTTTTTCCTGGTCATTTCAATGTGTTCAATATACATTTTATTCATGTTGCAAGTCAGATGCTAAGTTGGCACTTTCTCTCTCTGAACTTTCACTTTCTCTGTCCTGGTTCTAGACTTGCCTGGTCTTCTTCCTTAATTTCCTCCCGTGGCCCAACATATCAGTCTACATATGAATTTCCGCCTTCCTGGGATTGTCTCATCCTGGCATTCTTTCCAGCCTGACTCTTGCCCGGCATCCCTTTGCAGAGGAATCAGGGGAAGAACCTTGAGAAGGGGATGTCGAGTGAGGGGTGGAGCAAAGCCGCGTCTCCAGCCAGGATTTGAGGGATACCCATTGCCCTCTGGTGAGCTTCCGTAGCAGTGGTAACAGGCAGCAGCAATGCTCCAAAAAGCGCTGGGTGGGAGCTCCCAGAGTGGTGCAGCGTTTTCCCACTTTGCAGAGAACTGTCATTGTAACTAGGTCTGACACTTGGAGCACCAGACCCAGAAGAAAAATTAAGCGGGTTCCAGGGCAGGTGACAGCAATGGGTCCTGCCATGGTGTTGGGGCCCCCAACACTCGCCCAAGGAGTCCAGGGACCAGCGCTGACCCTGCCTGCAGTGCCTTAGTTATCCTGAATCTGGTGTCCTCCACATATTGTTGGACTACAATTCCCACCAGTCCCAGCCACCACATGCTGGAGGACACCAAGCTGCTGTTGTGCAACACAATTCACTTACCCCTCTCGTGCAAAACCTTTCTCCTGTCTCACGTTCACCATCATCAGCTTGAACACCCAATCAAGTCCATCGCCTCCTCCACCTCCAAGTCTATCACACACTCCCTTTGGTCTTCCTCAGCCTTGCATGAAATGGTCAAGGTGAGACCACTGAGGCAGAGAAACATGAAGGAAGCAGTCTGTGGCCAATTCATCTCAGTCTTCCTTAGTCCCTGCTTGACTACCATCCTAAGATGTGTATCCTGGGCTTACTCTTAGTAAAACCCAGGTCCACCACCCTCCACCCCCCAAAAATACTTCTGAGGCAGCACAATGCATCCATCTGTCAAGTTTTGAGCTCTCTGCTCCACACTTTTTTGAGTTCTTGTTTGTTCTTTCCTTCACTTATCGCATTTATATCCCACATTTTTCTCCAAGGGGCTCAAGGTGGCGAATATGGTTCTCCTCTCCATTTTATCCCCGTGACAACCCTGTGAGGCAGCTTAGACTGAGAGGCAGCAACTCTCCCAAGGTCACACAGTGAGCTTCATGGCCCAGTGGGGATGTGAACCCTGGTCTCCTAGGGCATAGTCCAGGGGTCTGCAACCTTTAAGACAAAAAGAGCCACTTGGACCTGTTTCCGAAGAAAAAAACACCTGGGAGTCGCAAAACCATTGCGACATTTAAAGCATGCGCGCCACTGCCCTCCAATCTCACAGCGGGTGGGAAGGTGACGTCGGGACGGTGTGTGACTAACGCACGCACCGCCTCCATGCGACGTCACAGCCAGTACAGCGCCCGCCACAGTGGGGAGTGTCAGGGCGCACAATGTGCCTCCTCCCCTCGCTAGTATCCGCCCCGGAGCCGCGGCAAAGGTGTAAAAGAGCCACATGCGGCTCCGGAGCCGCAGGTTGCAGACCCCTGGCCTAGTCCAACCCTCTATCCACTACACCACACTGCCTCTCACAACTGTTGGAGCTCACTACTCAGTTGCTGCAAAAGAAATCTCCACTTTATGAATCTCTTTCATAGAGAGACACTTTATAAAAAGGAGTGGGAACTGCCAGATGCAATTCTGTTTAACACTCTGAATAGGCCTCAGCAACTGCACTTTGCATCTCCTTGTTAACTTTCCTTCTGGGAATCCTGTGTTGTTTCTCACTCTGCTGCTGAAAGGTGGGGTGTTTGGCTGGCAGTTTGCTTGAAAATCTGCATGAGTCTGTCTACCTGGCCAGCCAGATAACAGAAGTCGCTTTTGGGTGGATTCCAGCAAGGGAAGTGAAACAACCATGCTATCACTTTCTTTGAGATTGAAAGTGAGACGCTACGGATGATAAGATTTCCCCAGTTGCATTTCATTATTGTGGGCTGACTCTGTCTCACACTCTGCTCTATGGTCTCATTTTGTATGGAAAATTTCTAATTAATTTTGGGAATTGCATGTGCGGAGTTTGTCCTCGTTCATTCATGTTAGTTTCTCTCTATCCACATGATCCATGCCCATAAGCTGTTGTAAACATTGAAACTTTTTTTTAGTTTGTGACTGAACGTGAGTGCACATCATTTGAAAAGCTGGGCTCAGATGAGAGGGAATGTGCATTGCCACGTACATCAGAAAGGCATACTCTGATTTAACCTTCTTGAAAGAAGGTTATGATTAAAATGAAAAAGGTAGTGAATAACCCAAGGCAGAGAGAGACATTACTTAAACACAAATAAGATTTATTGAGAAAAGAAAAACAGAAATTCGGACTTATAGGAAAATCAAAGAAACATAAATTATCTGTTTCCTAATGACTTGCTACAATCTTAACTATTTCTACTCTGACACAAGCTCTATTGAGTTTAATGGGACTTATTCCCAGGTAACTGGGGTTAGTTAGCATTAGCCATGAATTACAACGAACTACTTAAAATGTGTAAAAGTTAACACAAAGTACTGGGTGACAAGTCAGGGGTTGAAAGCTAAGAAGCGCAATCCAGATAAGCAAGAAGGCTCAAACTAGATTTCCAAGGGCAACATTTACAGTTTCAAGATGGCGGTTATTTTGGTTCACCTACCTTTTGAACTGATGCAGATCTGACAGGCAAGTTAGCAGCTTTTACGTTCAATGTGACTATTTATATGGTCAAAGGTGGCCTAAGACCACAGTCTGCAACCACAGTTCTATATCTTGGTCATTAATGAATGATTCTGAAACACTTTATACTTACAGGTTTAGTACTTAGCAAGGGGATGTGTGTTTAGTCGTGGTTTAGGCAGGAAGCAGAGTAAAAGCCAGTCGTATACAGATCTATTTTCAATTTGGGCTGAAACGTTTGCTGTGAACAAGTCAGCAGGGTTTGCTTTTTTTTAGAAAATAAACTTTTGCTTTTCAATGCATACACTTTTAGTAACTAAATTACAATAATACATGTTCATATGCCATTATATATATGGAAGATATATCCACTCCAGTCCTGTTGCAAAAGCATAGCTTCAGCTTCTATAGTCTTGGATTAAAAGACTATAGAAACCCGAAGAATGACAAGTCTAGAAACTCATACCAACAGCGGTTTTAATAATGCATCCGCAATAGACATAGACAAGGATAATTAATGATCAGGGACAATGCAAGAGGGAAAGTTGGATGATACACAATACAAATTAAACATTGCTTATTTTAATCAGAACAATACAGTACAGTTGGGTCTTAACAAATTACTACATATTATTGTATCTATACATAAAACTCACCCCATTTGCTAACTATGTAATGACAATTTGCTGAAAGAGCAGTTTCTCATCATGATGAAGAGGTAAAATGGCCTTTTATTGTTTCATATTTGCGAGATTAAAATTAATAATTAGGTTTATTTTTTAACATAAGCGCACTTTGAAAGCCTCTGCCTAAATGAACTGCATCTTCTGACAAATGAGATAGCATGTTAAATAGAATTGGGTCTCAGATGATTTCAGAATTCCATTGTCTCTTTTCCCATCATACATGTGGGCTGGGTCACTGGAAGAAATGCATATTTGTTCTCTTAATTCGATTGCATCATCAAACCTCTCACAGAACACAGTCCACAAGATCTGGAAGAATACAGCCGCCATCCCAGCAAACAGAGCTGTCACTCCTCAGTAGACTAGCACTACAACTCCTGACATTCATACACAGTGCTGGTGATAAAGCGTTTTCTTTCTCTGAACAGAAAAATAATATGTATACAGTCATACCTCGGGTTAAAGTTGCTTCAGGTTGAGCGTTTTCGGGTTGTGCTCTGCGGCGACTCGGAAGGAACATTACTTCCAGGTTTCGCCGCTCACACATGTGCAGACGCTCAAAATGACATCACATGCATGAGCAGAAGCGGCGAATCGCAGCCTGCGCATGTGCAGACGCGCAGACGCAGGTTGCGTTCTCCTCAGAATGCGAACGGGGCTCCAGAACTGATCCCATTCACATCCAGAGGTACCACTGTACATCTATAAGATATTTCTCACCCTGTGGTCTCCAAACTTTCCGAGCTTTCCTGCATTGCAGGGGGTTGGACTAGATGACCCTGAGTCCCTTCCAACTCTATGATTCTATGAGTTCTCCTCTGATCTCCCTCTGTCTAAAACTAGGATGATGAAGAAGAAGAGTTTGGATTTGATATCCCGCTTTATCACTACCCTAAGGAGTCTCAAAGCAGCTAACAATCTCCTTTCCCTTCCTCCCCCACAACACTCTGTGAGGTGAGTGAGGCGGAGAGACTTCAAAGAAGTGTGACTAGCCCAAGGTCACCCAGCAGCTGCATGTGGAGGAGCGGGGAATCGAACCCGGTTCACCAGATTACAAGTCTACCGCTCTTAACCACTACACCACACTGGCTCTGGATCTCCAGATGTTGTTGGAGTACAATTCCCATAATTCCTGATGGCCACGCTGATGAGATTTGATGCCCAACAACATCAGGAAGCCACACATTCACCAACCCTGGTCTAAAAGAAAGAGTTGATTTTCTCTATACAAGACTTGCCAGAGCCAGAGCCAGCCCACAGATGTGGTGGGGTTGTGCTTCTGCCTCAGATGGCAGAAGTACAAGAGGCGGCACCCCATCTGACCCACCACTTCCACCACCACCAAATTTCAATATGAGAGAGACATTCCAGCGTGCAGTGCTGCCGCTCGCTGGGTGAGAGGGGGGCATTCCGGCGGTGGTGGAAGTGGTGGGGCAGGAATGGTGCAGGGGCGTGGCAGGGGCAACAGAGGAGGGACAGGAGATGGCACATTCCCATTTCACCTCACGTGGTGAAATGGGATGCGCTGCCCCTGAGACTTCCCTATTTTACCACAGCTCCAATTGACATCTGTGCAGTGATCATGCTGCAAATGCTGGACATTTCTGCTGCTTTCACTGTATAGAGAGAAATTCTACCTAGTCCAGCTTTCAGTTCTCATAGTGTCCAACCAGATGCCTATGAAAGGCCCAGGAAAGTGCTGCTGTGCTCAAGTAATTCTTTCAGGCTCCCAACAGGGATCAGGTTGCACACTATGGGAACAAAACTTCCAAAAATTACTTTTGTAAGTGTCCCCAAATTTCATGGAGGCTCGATCGCAGTTAAGATCACTTTCAGCATATTTATATTTCAGACTTAAGCTGGTTTGTCTGCTAGTCATTCTCCTTCCCCAGAAACCTGATGTTCTATTAAGATGGCCAGAATAATCAGAGAATCCTCAGCACAGTTCCCAGAAGGCTGTGGGGGTGTTAAACTAATATAAAACCTAATATGTTTGCAAGATATGTATGTCCTTAGACGTTTAGCCAAGCAGTACAACCTCATCTGCCTATTGCCTTATAATTAGAAAAGTCCTAAGGTGCTCAAGAGATGCTCACAGCTAAACTATTTTAGATAAAAATGTGTCCTTCCTGTCTGCAGTGTGGTTCGGTTTTGGTCACTTACCTTGAAAAGTAGAGATATTTAAAAGCATGGGGTTTTCTGTGTTGGGAGCTGCTGCTGTTGCAGTCTCTTTTTCATTCCCAATCGAAAACCCTTGACCTTCTTCTGTGGTTTCTATAGCCTGTGGTTTCTGTAACTCTGGACTTGCAGTTGCTGAGCAAGAAAGCAAAAAGCAGAAAATACAACAACCATGGAAAGTAAATGCTGGGTTAACACAACATTAACATATAAGCATGTTGTAACACAGGAACAAACAAAATTTACTAAGTATAAGGGGAACAGGTTTTAGCATGATTACACAAGGTTTCTGTATACTATGGGGCTCACTCCCAGGTAAGTAGCCTTTTCTGAAGACCATAAATAGAGGATCCAAAATCTGCCTTGGGTCCTTTGTGGAGAGGGGAAAAACAGATTAGAAACAACAACAAGATGCTTGGAAAATGTAACTTGTGGGACCTCCTGATAAATACAAAACCATAGTGGCCTTTTTCTGTGAGCATGTAGCTCAATGTAAGCCAGGTCCATAAGAGGGCCAAACTAGATAGGACCTGGGAGAAATGTGTGAAGCATTTCCTAACTGAAAAACTTGAATTGCAGGGGTGGGGTGCCCCAAATTTTGTCAAACCAGCTGCAGTGGAAGGGAGTGATCAGTTCCCCCATCACAATCTGCTGAAAACCACCCTCTTCTATCTGCTTTTTCCCCTGTAGGGAAATTTTGAGCCAGTTTTGACTGAGAAAACTACTCAAGATAGTAAAGTGTTTTCTCCCTCCTGCTACTGCTCCAATTACATTTGGAGGCAACAAGGGTGCATTAAAGGAAATTGTTGGAAGATACTTGATGTGCCTCCAGCTCAGGTCTAGTTGGACCCTCAGTTGCCCCCTAGGAGATATCATCAATTTGTCCCTTGGCACCAGGTCATTCCCAGGGGAATTGAAGGAGGCAGTGGTGCGCCCACTCTTAAAGAAAACATCATTAGATCCTTTAGATCTATCCAATTACCGCCCAGTTTCGAATCTTCCATTCCTGGGTAAGGTAATTGAGAGAGCGGTTGCTGAACAGCTTGGTGGGTTTCTGGATGAAACATCGACTCTGGATCCACTCCAGTCCGGCTTCTGCGCTGGTCATGGGACCGAGATGGCTCTGGTCGCCCTAACAGATGATCTCTGCAGGCAGCTGGATCGAGGCGGGTCGGGGCTGCTGATTCTTTTAGACCTGTCAGCAGCCTTCGACATGGTCGATCACGAACTCTTGGACCACCGCCTCGCCGACGTGGGGATCCAGGGCATAGTCCTTCAATGGTTGCACTTGTTTCTCTCTGGTCGGGGACAGAGGGTGGCACTTGGGGGAGAACTGTTGTCACGCCACTCCTTGGTCTGTGGAGTGCCGCAGGGTACGATACTCTCCCCGATGCTTTTCAACATCTTTATGCGCCCCCTTGCCCAGCTTGTCCAGAGTTTTGGTTTGGGCTGCCATCAGTATGCTGATGACACCCAACTCTATCTGTTGATGGACGGCCATCCTGACTCGGCCCCAGACACACTGTTCAGATGTTTGGAAGCTGTGGCTGGATGGTTACACGGAAACCAGTTGAAGTTAAATCTTCGAAGACAGAGGTCCTTTGGCTGGGTCGGAACGATATGGGATTGGGGGGGCAACTCCCATCTGTTGCAGGGGCGCAATTAGTGCCAGCACCATCTGTTAAGAGTTTGGGTGTAATCTTCGACACCTCCCTTTCCATGGAGGCGCAGATTGCTGCTATAACAAAGGCAGCATTTTTTCATCTCCACCAAGCTAAGCAGTTGGCTCCTTACCTCTCTCGCCCTGACCTAGCCACTGTGATCCACATGACAGTCACCTCCAGACTTGATTATTGTAACCCACTCTATGTGGGGCTGCCCTTGAGACTGACCCAGAAACTCCAGCAGGTGCAGAATGCCGCGGCGAGACTCCTTACGGGGTCCTTGCCATGGGATCACATTTACCCGGTGCTATACCAGCTGCACTGGCTCCCGGTGGAGTACAGGATCAGGTTTAAGGTGCTGGTTTTAACCTTTAAAGCCCTATATGGCCTAGGACCCTTGTACCTACGGGACCGCCTCTCCTGGTATGTCCCACGGAGGATCATACGGTCTTCAAATAAAAACACCTTGAAGATCCCGGGCCACAGGGAGGTTAGGCTGGCCTCAACCAGAGCCTGGGCTTTTTTTGGCCGTGGCCCCGATCTGGTGGAACACACTGTCACAAGAGACTAGGGCCCTGTGGGACTTGACATCTTTCTGCAGGGCCTGCAAGACAGAGCTGTTCCACCAGGCCTTTGGCCAAGGCACAGTCTGACCCCCTCCTTTGGTATTCCTCATAGAACTCTAGCCCAATGGTTGCCATTAATTTGATTTTGAATTAATTTTAGAATGAATTAATTTTAGAATGCATTTCAATTAATTGATTGTGATTTTATGTAACTGTGTTACTTTTATTGTGGTTAGCCGATCTGAGCCCAGCTTTGGCTAGGGAGGGCGGGATATAAATAAAATTTTGTTGTTGTTGTTGTTGTTGTTGTTAGTGTATGTGCTGCACTAGAATAAACCCTTCTGACCACCAACAGTTGCACTGAATTCTCTAGAGACAGCAGACATGATATTTGAAGTTCCTTCTCTACGTGTGTGCAATCCCTACCACCACTCTGTCCCAATACCAGCACTATGCATCACTGCATACACCTGTGGTTAAAAACAGTATCGCCAACCTCAATGAACACTTTCTACTGCAAGCTAACATCTCACACACGGTCTCATTCCAGCTGGTTTTAAACATTTCTGAGGATGAACAAATCCTTACATCAACTACCCTTGCAGCAATCTTTCTTCTATAATTCTACGTTTTGATTTCTAGCGGCTAACACTGAATACTGTTCAAAGTCCTTTACCGAAATTGCTTAGGGCAAATGTCCCAAACAGTTGGAGCACCAGTTGGGAGGGTGTGGAGTGCTGGACTTGGACTAGGGAGAGGTGGGATCAAGTTATTGCCCAGTCTAGGTGGCCCATGAATGCTGCCTGAGCTCCTTGGAAGAAAGGTGGGCTAATGTTTAATATGAATAATAATAAGGAACAACAACAATTTTAAAAAATAGCAACAAGAAGGAGCAGTTGTCATATCAGACCCATTAAAATACCAGTTTGTCCATGTCTTAAGATCTTCTGGAGAGATGCTGTTCCAAGTACTCTCTTTAATTGAGGTATGCTACTCTTTAAAAGAAAAAGAGGGCTTTTTTCTGCAGTGCCTCCTCAACCTTTGAGTGCCTTCTCAAGGGAGACATGACTGGATCTGGCATGGCAAGCTCTCCTATTTGCTGTCCTATTTGCTCACACACGTTAGTTTGGGGGAGGGAGGGAGGGAATGGTTTGTTTCTGTTTTTAGCTTTTGAGATATTTGTTTTGTTTCATTTATGTTTTGTTAAGCTGATTTGCTGATTTTAAGGTGTGTTGATAAATTGTCCAAATTAATTATATTCCTATTTTTGGACCTGGCTCTGGAATCTTCTGTTGAAAGACGGTTGAGAAATATTTAAAATAAAAACAAAAACTTAAAAATGAGTCATTGTGAGTCATGATTCACTTATATCTATTGAATTCAGTGGTCTACTCTGAGTCTGCGGCAATCCAATGACAAATAAACAAATAAATAAACAGCAGCTGCAATGTTTCAGTGATTAATTCATTAGACTAATGGATTTTTAAAGTATTTTAATCTACTAAAAGAGTGAATCAGGAAGCATATTTATTTATTTATTTATTTAAATTGGTTCTTTAATACGAGTTACGTATTAAAACTGTGGGTGGCAAGCAGGAATGCCTCTTCGAAAATGACACTTGCAATGGCATATTGGGGGGGGGGACGACCCAGCCTGTGGGCCTAATGAGACCTACCATGCCTCTTCATTTGACTTGCAAGGCAGTTTTTGCCCAGTCAAGATCACCAGCTCTACGCCCAATTTATATGACATCACATATGGGGCAGTTCAGGGCATGGCTGGACTGAAAGAGGGGTTGCAACTTACTGGCCCATCTGCAGAGATGGAGGTGGCTGCCCATGGGAGGGAGGGAAAATATGGGGTGCCCCCTAAATAATGCTCCACAGAGTTGGAGCATATGGGACCAGCAGTGCAATTTGATACGTGTCAACTCAGAGGCAAGCCCCACTGAATTCAGTAAGACTTTCCCCCAGCAAGGCGTGTGTAGGGTTGCCACCTAAAGCACATATGGTGAATCAAGTTGCAGTAATTGTAGTAATAAATAGCAGTTCAGATAGAAGACAGTGCTGCCCAATGAGAAGATATGGCCCATTCACTCGCTGAATTAGCTTTGTTTCTCAGAGTAGACCATGACATTACCTTCTGTTCATGATACTGTTATAGGTGGGGGGAACTCCACCCACCCACCCAAAAAAAACCCCTAGAAATTAATAAATGGTAGGAGTCTGATGATTTGGAGTATTGAAGGGAAGATTGGAGGCCTGTGGAAAAGTACAGGCTAAGCTTCCTTCCTGTCACCTGGGATAGAGGCATTAACATGAGAAAAGGTATTGCTGACCCATCTAGGAAGGATCTTGGGCCTGGGCAGATAGTCAGAGGTTGCCATGGTGATGGGGTGTGTATCTGAGGTAGCACACAAAGAGAGTCTTTAGAGAAAGGTGTGCTGGGAAGAAGAAGGGAAGAGCAAAGGGGGAGATCCATCTTGGGCAGGGGTCTGCAACCCGCGGCTCCGGAGCCGCATGTGGCTCTTTTACACCTTTGCCGCGGCTCCGGGGCGGATACTAGCGAGGGGAGGAGGCACATTGTGCTCCCCGACACTCCCCACTGTGGCAGGCGCTGTACTGGCTGTGACGTCGCATGGGGGCGGTGCGTGCGTTAGTCACGCACCGTCCTGACGTCACCTTCCCACCCGCTGTCAGATCGGAGGGCAGCGGCGCGCATGCTTTAAATGTCGCAATGGTTTTGCGGCTCCCAGGTTGTTTTTTTCTTCGAAAACGGGTCCAAGTGGCTCTTTTTGTCTTAAAGGTTGCAGACCCCTGATCTTGGGCAAGCTGGTTGAAGGCTGACTGGGAGAGATGCCTTGCACTCCAGTGCTGCATTGCTGTGGGGAACAAGTAAGAGCTGGACTCCCTCCATGCAGACTGAAGGTGTAAATATGCAAATAAAACAGATTTCTTAAAGCAGGCTCCACTACAGCTTCAATTCTCCAGAGGAGCTCAAACCATTGGTGAATGCCTGAAACCCCCTGGAATCTTGCTACTGCTTGGCAGAGAGTGGGGGTGCCGAAAACCATTGTAAGAATATGCACAATTAATACTTTTTTGGAGTGGAGTTTAATTTATAAGGAAGGAAAACAGGCAGAACCATCACTTCTTTGAGGTGAGTAGTCTCCAAAACAACCAAAAATCCTTGCTTCCAGAAGCTGATCGGCAGTGCTTCAGAATGTCCTACTTACTAAGTGGCACTGTTCACATGAGTATTCTGCTCACTGAACTGTTAAATGCACTTGGTGGCAGCATAACGTAGTGTATGAATCACCCCATAATGAATAACAAACTAAACTTGGCAAAGATGCACCGACACGACCTAAATGCAAGCACAGTAAAGAAGCTCTGATAGCTTTCTGGTTTTTTATTTGTCTTTTAACTGGCACGTAAAACCATAAGAACTGCGGAAGAGTGTAGCTAGCTCCAATGAAACAGATTTATGTTATTGTCTATGTATTCTCTTCCATTTATATCCCATCTTTCTTCCACCCTGAATCCAAACATACATGTAGTTGCAGGAAGTCCCCAGTCCAGGAACCGACCAGAACTGAATTTCATATATTAATTTAGGCCTGCTTCACAAATCATGCTAACACAAACTATGTGTGAGTGTGGAGGCTCCCAGAGAGGAGATCGCAGCCACTTTGCTTCTCATCAGTTGTTTGGCTGCTGCACCAAACTGGGAGAGCTAAACCATGATCCTAGGTTTGTACAACACATCAACCCATACCATGGGGTTGGAAAATGATTTCCCCTCAGGCACAACTGGCCCAAGACATTTCCCTCCCCCAACCCCAGCAGCTGCACTATAACTCTAGAACTAGTCTAGAACTGGTTTTAACTAGTCTGAGAGGCATTCTTGTGTACTTGGAAGGTCATAACTGTTGGATGACACACGGCTTTGTTGGTGGCCTTCAGCAGAAACTTAGGTTGCAGTGCAGTGCCAGACTGTGGGACCTGGAGGACCCATGGCCTTCTTCTGTAACATATGGCTTGGCTCATTTCTCTCTGTTGTCTAGAGCTAAGGATTCCCAACAGAATTTGCTTCCTTCTGCTTTCTGCTTATGTGGTCTAAATTATATACACCAAACTTGAATCTCACTTATTGGTCTTTGGGCCCCTTTCTTCTTATAGTTCTTTGAACCAACCCCTGAGCTATCTCCAAACCAATTTGTTCCAGACCCGCACACCTTGATTTGCAATAGAAACCTATCACACCAGAACCACCTTTGTTTGTTGTCCTCACACAGTTACCAGGTAGAAAGGTCACACTTTTACGACCTCCTCCTGTCCCGCCCTCAACTGCAACATACAGAGGTCTCTAGCAGTTGGGACTCCACAATCACAGTTCTGGATCCCATGGAAGCCTAAACACATAGAGATTAGTGTACACTGGTTTGGCAGCTGTAATACTCACATTGGTCTTGCTTTCTCCTATAAACTACTGCATAGTCAGCAACATTCTTCCTCCAACTTGCACGGTGTTGTCTTCTTGTTTTCCAGAGAACTTAAACCATATAAAATAAAAAGTGTGGAAATGGTTTTCAGTGAGAACTGAAAGCACACATTACTGGTGCCGTAGTCACTCCTAATATCGCCATCATCTCCTAATTTTATTGCAGGGGTGCAGACACAATCCCATTTCTTCCTTTGCCCTTTCCTTCTCTAGAGCAAATGACAGATGGGTCCCCTCCCTCCTGCCCATTACAGCCTTTGTGAAAAAATGGCACAGATTTTAAGGGAAGCTTAGAATAAAGTCTTTCCCCAGAGGTAACTGGCTTTTCATCATATGTATACTGAAGAACCCTCAACCTGTTTTCTTTTTAACAAATTAGCTTAGCACTACTTAAAACATGGCCTGAAATATCCGTTGGCAACTTCCTCTTATCAGGGACCCTATGAAAGTTAAGAGGGCAGGAGGCATATGCGAGATACGGTGTGGCCGTCAATTAATTGCTCACAAACCATCACGTGCTCATAGCCTTTCAGTGCTGGCAGGAGGAAAGGCAATGGATCCAATTATTTGTGTTTTCCCTCTTCAGAGGTTGAGTCTTGGTGGCTAGAGATGGGGGAGTTCAGTTCACATTTAAAGGCAAATCTATTAAATTCACAGAAGCAGAATTCACAGGTCCTTCCATCCCAAAAAAAGGTAATGAGACAGGGCAGATGGGATTGATGATAGTATCTTCACCTCTTAAAAGATATCTACAGTAACTTGTTTTTTAATCAATGCATGCATATACTTGCTATCAATTAAGTTCACAGTCCTACCTAGTACACCGTGATTCATGTTAGTTAGTAAGCAAACAATTCAACAATGCCAGCAATTCCAAAGGGGATCTTCAGTTGAAAATGTCTTATTTTAGACTCAAGGATGTGGCTCTCCCTGGCATGTGCCAGAGGGCGGCAGAAGTCTGCATCCTGGTTTTAACTAGTCACAGTGCAGGGGACTGGAAGTGACACACTGCCCTGACACACTCACTGCAGTCTGATAAAAGACAGCTGGTCGGTGTGGGAGAGTGTGATAGCTGCAGTAGCAGCAAAACACACACACAAAGAGAGGGGGGGACATGGAGAAAGAATTATTGACAAGTGCACAGCAACGAAGGACAGCTAAGAAGCAAGGAGAGAGAGAACCTCTGTCCCAGCGAAGCTGCTAGAAAATAATATTAATTGTGAGTGGGAGTCAGGGGAGAGGAGAAATCTGCAGCTACAGAGACAAAGCAGAGGCAGAGTGAGAGAGATGTGAGAGAACAGCTGTGAAAGAAAAAGAGACAGCTGAGGTTACAAACTTCAGTAGAGAGCCAAGAAAAGCTGGGAGAAGTTGTATGGGCTGATGTAATCAGAAACACCTGTATGAAACCTGGAGCAAGGAACCATTCCAGGTCTTTGAGACCTCCCGTCGTTGCGGGGGGGGGGGGCACAGGGGCTCTTACATGGAACAGGAATCCTGACACACAATGTGTTGTTATGTCCGAACCAAGAACTGCATTCACTTCAACAAACTACAGTTTAAACTGATCCAAGATCAGAAACCGCTGTTTCAATAAACCATAGTTTGGCCCTTCCCATAGTTTGGCCCAATTCAGATATAACCAATTATGGTCAGCTTAGCTCAGGAAGCAGATGAAGATGCATGTTGGAGGAGGGCAGAGGACAGGAGGATGCTTGAGTCCATGTCTTGAGTAAGCTAACTCCTATTATGCTAAAGTACCGTATATTTTAGCATTATGTCCAAACAGGTGTTATATGCTGACCTCCATCTTGTGGTCTGTGTGTGTCAGAGAGAGAGAGAGAGAGAGAGAGAGATCCCAGTATGCTTGGCATGCTTGTAAAAAAAAGAAAAAGATTAGGCTGCACATGGATTTTCATGACCATGAGATGAAAAAGGTTTTATTGACAAAGTAAAACAAGGGGTTGCATTAGACAACCATCGGTACCTTTTGAGTGAGTTTCCCCCATTATGGTAAGCAGGGTAAGGCAAGGAAAGATTACCTGGCTTCCTCTTCCATTTTCCAACATGATATATACATGAGCCCAATATAACAAGAAAAGCTGCAACAAGAGCTCCTTCTAAGATGAAGAAGATTAAATGAGGCAAACATATTGTCTTCTGTGGATTAGGTTCTAAAATTAGAATGCAATTGTGAAAAGAATTACCTATTTTAACTTACTTCTGACAGGTAGTTTTACAAAGAGCTCTGTTTGTACTTTTAATGACATGTGGCACTGTGTAAAACATTAATATTACCCTGTCAATTTATTTAATCATTTCAATTAACTACCTTGCGCTTAACTTTTTCATCAATTAACCATGTATAATAAATGTTACATGAAGTCAACAGAGCCTATAACTTGACGGGGGCGAGGGCAGCACACAAAACTATGTATTGTCATACATTGCTTGAAAATCAGCTTCAGTCTTATACATGCTTTCCTGGGAATAAGCCCCACTGAACTGAATGGGGCTTACTTCTGAGTAAGTATGCATAAGATTCTAGACATATCCTACCAACTCTACCAATTCTAAAATCTTTTCATAAGGAGCAATCTTAGTTAAAACCAAGTGAATCTGTTATCAGACTGAGAAATACTCTTAAGTCTTTAAGTCAAGCCACTAGCCCAGGGGTCTGCAACCCGCGGCTCCGGAGCCGCATGTGGCTCTTTTACACCTTTGCTGCGGCTCCGGGGCGGATACTAGCGAGGGGAGGAGGCGCATTGTGCGCCCCGACACTTCCCACTGTGGCGGGCGCTGTACTGGCTGTGACGTCGCATGGGGGCGGTGCGTGCGTTAGTCACGCACCGTCCCGACGTCACCTTCCCGCCCGCTGTCAGATCGCGGCTCCGGAGATATATTTGTTTTAAATGTCGCAATGGTTTTGCGGCTCCCAGTTTTTTTTTCTCTTCGGAAACGGGTCCAAGTGGCTCTTTTTGTCTTAAAGGTTGCAGACCCCTGCACTAGCCCATCCAGTACAGTACCATCTGCTCTGATCCATAGCAGCTTTTAAGACCTCAGAACAATGCCTGCTACTTGATAGCCTTTTAACAAGGGTCTTTCTGCATGCAGAAGTATGTACTCTACCATGGAACTATGCTTTCTTCCTACAATACGGACAGCTTTGTTAAGTATAATTGTTTAATGTGCATTGAATTGGGGGGGGGGGATCTATAATGTGCCTATATTGCGCTGGGTAGCATGACTAGAAATTTCCACTGAAGCTGAAGAAGAGCCTAACAAATGAATCATGAAGTGGGGATGTATCTCTGTGCCTCGATCACAAGATGTTTAGCTCATAGTCATATGAAAAGGATTGTATTGCAGGTCTATGCATATGCTAATCTGTAGGCATCCATCTTGGATGGGGTGCTTTCTTTGTTCCAAGTTACTGAAAAGAATGGATGTGTGAATCTCTGTCTCCAGCAAACAGCCTGGAGGCAGCAATGGAGGAGAGACAGAGCTTTGATTTCTAGCTGAGAATACAACATATTTGTAATCTAAGATATTATGGTTTCTGCTGGGAGCAGTGCAAAAAATATGCATCTAACTGAAAGTAACTTTTATTGTTTTAAGCATCAGTTTTTATTCATCCAACAGATTACAAATGTGCAATATTAATAGTCTCAATAGGGTTTCCCACTGAAACATAACTTGGTTTTCATTCATCAGGTTCTCCCTTATTACATGAAGCAACACCTAGCACCTGTAATTCCAGGTGCTTTTTGATACACTGTGTAAGGAGGGGAAAATAATCTCTGCTAAACTATGAATATCATTTTCAGTTTTAGCTGCAAATCAACATTTCTAACAGTTTCTTAACAGTGAATGAACCCAATTTCTGTTGTGCCATTTTAAGGGACAGTCTACCACACTGTGGGCACATACTTCACAAAAAGTTAAGTGCCTGTAGGTTCTGTTGATTAGAACAGAGCAAGTCAGTCCAATTGGCTTAGCATGGCCTAAAGGTACATAATGTTGGCAATGGCATTAATAAAAAAATAGTAATATCCTTCTATTCAGTAAAATTACCAATCTTCTTTTATTTGAAGGTAAGTGTTATTGTACTTTACTAAAGTATTTGCAGCAGGCTCTTGTCAAACAGAATGTATGAAAGATATACACTTACAACAAAATTGCAGTACGTATAACTGTTCCAGTGGTTGAGTTGGCTAGTGCACAGATGAACCTTGTAAATACTTGCTACTCATCTTAGAGCATGGGAATGCCCATCTAATACAGTGATACTTCTAGATACGAACGGGATCCATTCCGGAGCCGCGTTCACATCTAGAAGCAAACATAACTGGCGATGGAACGTCTGCGCACGCGTGCATCACTTTTCGCCACTTCAGCGCATGCGTGTGATGTCATTTTGAGCGTCTGCGCATGCGCAAGTGGCAAAACCCGGAAGTAACGTGCTCCGTTACTTCCGGGTTGCTGCGGAGCATAACTCGAACGCGCTCAACTCGAAGCGCATTCAACCCGAGGTATGACTGTACTCACGTGTAAGTTCCAGTTGAATTGTGTGGCTGTACTGATACACACCATCCTTGGTAAACACTTCTGCTGTGTACTGTCCGATATCCTGCACATGAGTGGGACACAAGCTCAAGCTGCCATTGTTAAGTATAAGACATCTCTTGCTGTCGTCTATGCAAGTTGTAATATTCTGGCTGTCCACCTTTCCTATTGTGATATTGCCCTTCTTCCAAATCACATCATGAAGGTGGATGGCTTGTTTCGTGATCTTCATCTCAAGGAGCATACAATCACCAAGTGTTCCTTTGGTGAGACTAAGCTGCAGTTTGGATTCTGAACACAGAGCAAAAATATAGTGGACATACAGTTTACTTCGATCCTCAAAAATGTGTGCATTAAGTAGATTTGAAAGAATTTTGAAAACTGTTATTTCACTGAATTAAAGTATTTCAATTTCAGGGGTGCATTTCAAATTTCAGCCATGAAACTGAAAGCAAAGTAGTAAATGAAACTCTCAGGGAGCTATTCAATTTGAAAATTATACTAGAACGCCTTTTAGCTACATGATGTAACTTCTCTGCCCTTTCCCCTCCCCATGTGCCCTAAATCTGCTCCTAAATGTGTTCCTCTAACTCTCTAGCTGTTCTGGTTATTATACAGCTGAATGCTGCAAATGCATGGCACTTATTTTATAGGAATAACACACAGTCCCTTAGAGGGCCTATCTGATAACTTACGTGTAAGCAGCAGTTCCTTTCCGTTTCTGTATTGAATGCGTCCATCCTCAGTATATGCTGCCACTGTATAATGCCCAATATCGTCCAACTGGGTGGGACACAAGCTCAAGGTGCCATTGTTATAGATAAAACATCTTTTGCTATGGATTGTACAGTTTGCTTCACTCTGACCATTGATCATCATCCCAATCAAGGCATTGCCTTTCTTCCAAATCACATTGTGAATGTGGATTGCTGGGTTCCTGTTCTCCAGATCAAGGAGAATACAATCACCAAGCTTTCCATTGATAAGGCTATCCACTTTGGATCCTAAGCATGTCAATAAGATGCAATGGGAAGACATTTAATTCGTTAACACCCAAATTGAACAAAGCATACCAATTCATAAAACTGTGATTTCATGAAATCAAAATGTTCAGATTTCAAGAGGACATCTAAAAATTTCAGACTCAAAACACAGCACAAAAGCAAATTCAAATCTCCATAGTAAGACATGGCTGGTAGAATTCATTTCCCAGCTGTAATCAACATAATTTCACACTTTTTCAGAAGTGAAATATGACAGCTTTTAACATAGAACATCCATTTTTAGCATTCTTATCTGACATAATAAATCCCAGGAACGTTTATACCCAATATATCTTTTGTTTCTTTCTTTGTTTAAAATATTTTATCTCACTCTTCAATTATTCCAGGGTGGTTTACAAATTGGTCTTAAAATAGTAAAGCGCCAATAATTAATATCTATCATTTTATTGTAAGTAGTTGCAGCACCACCAGGTTTTATCCAGTTGGATTCAAAGAAACCAGGAGTCGATTGTTCAAAATGGTGGGTGTAGAATGCCCTCCTGAATCCAGTAATTGTGTCACTGGCTGCTTCTTCCAAACAGTCACTGCATGTTGAAATAGTCAACCCAGACTCAAGTTTTTCCAAGCTTACGGATGTGCCAGTATGGTGGGACCACCCCCATAAAATGCTGAAATTCCATTAGTATGCAGTGCTGCCCCATGGAGGCTGCAACTGTCATGGTTGGACACAACTACCTATCTACATGGTCATCTGATCATGCCATAAATAAGTTTGACCATGATTCCCCTCTCTCAGTAAAACATGTATAGAAAAAGGGGCATGAGCTCTGGCAAATCCTCTTTACCACCTGGTTAGTCACATGACTGTGTGTGCACAGTGGGAGATAGCCAGCCACTGTTCCTGCAGTACACTAAATTATTATTTTACATCCAAGCAGAGTTCTATTATAAAAGAGGTTTGTGAAATTTCAAAATGTTGGAAATGGACAAGAGCTGTCTCAGCTAAAAAGACAGGTAAAAATACTTGAAGTAAATAAATAATAGGCCATTAAGTCTAACTCCTTGCCACTGGTCATGATTCTCCACACACTAGCATCCTGACCCCTGAGCAGTCCTGACCCCTGAGCTGACAACAAGCAAAGAACAGACTCAAAATGGACAAAGAGATAAATATCTAAAATGTTGTTAAACGAGCTATATGCTCTCTGTAACATGTTCCCTTTTCCAGGCAGTCTCACCAGAGTATTGACTTTCGCGTGGAAAATCAGCAGATTCATCCAAAGCCTTATTTGCTCGCATGCCATCACCAAAAACTGGACCAGAAATATAAAAATAATAACATTAAGAAAAGCTGCATATCAAATGGTTCTTTCCACCATATGAATAGATAACCATAAATAATACTACAATCTTAAGGCAGAAATGTATTAGTTTTAGAACATGAACCTGGAGGGCAAAGTTCCTGTTTCCTAGTTGCCTCCTCATTTTGGAGTTGACACAAGGCTTTGGACATGGGCATCTCATGGACCATTATGAAAGCAAGAATGCTGGATTGGATGAGAGTTTGGTCTGATCCAGCAAGCCTCTTCTCATAGTTTTATGTTACTATTAGAGACCTTACAACCAGCTCCAGATTTTCTTCCATCCCATCACAATGACAGATGTGTGGACTTTAATCATAAATTTTGACAAAAATATGTATCCTTTCTTTCTATATCTGTGATTTTTTTTAAGGCATGTTGTTTTTTAAACATATCTGCAATCTCATTGGCTTCAGTTTCTTTCTGCGATCAAAGCACCATTATCAAAATTACTTTACCTTATTGTTTTGTCCATTATCTTATTATATTGAAGAGATTTGGGGGAGGGGGTTGACCAATCTAGCCAAATACATTTGACTCCTCTTTTACCGAAGGACTAAATAAGCAATTTCTAACATCAATAGTAATACTGTGCATTAAACTTTTTGGAAATTTAATTATGATCCACCCGTTAAAAATGTATCCCATTCATATACCACTTACAGTTCTGCTTGTTGGATTTGATGCAATTATAGCAGACTAAATCTTAGTTCTCTGATATATGACAATCGCTGTCTAATCCTACACATAAGCATGACATACCAAGTCACTGACTTCCATGAAATATTTACTTGGTTGTAGTTCATTCACACTGTGAGAGGCAGTGGAAGAACGGAGTGCCTGGCGTGCTCTGGTCCATGGGGTCACGAAGAGTCGGACACGACTAAACAACTAAACAACAACAACAACAAGTTCATTTCACATCCAAGCCAAAAAGAAACTTACCTTGAAGAACAAGTATATAAACCATTGACGGGACAGGAAAAATAGAAAATGCTTGAGAGTTCATTTTGGTAGGATGCTGTAGCAGGTACATCAGAACACAATATCCTCAGAAACATCCCTACAGTAACAGAGCTTCCATAGCATTGCCTAGAAAAGATAAAGGGCTGTTCTATCTTGATTTTAAACTCTACCTCCTAGGTTCAGTGTAATTTGTCAAAACGGAGAAGCATGGGAGAGTCGGTTCTTCAAAAGAGAAGCAAGGTGGTTTCAACCACTGTAAGAAATACTCTTGCAAATTGTTAGTAAATGTGTTACTCACATGTCTGAGTGTACAGAAATAGTACCTTGTAAGGCAAATACACGCGAGAGCAAAAAATAGAGATCAAAGATAAGAGCTACAAAGAGCAGAGAGATGTGGACGACCAGTCCATGATTCAGAGTGGGGAACCTGAAGCAAGTGTTGAGTTGGAGTGTAATATTTAATGAGACTTTATTAATTAAAGTTACATCCAGCCACAGCAGAGCATTTTTACAGCAAATCCTATACATGCCTATATAGAAGTAAGTCCCACTGAGTTCAGTGGGGGTTATTTCTAGGTAAGTAGACATAGCACTGATTATATAGATTCAAACTCAAATAAGCCAGTGCATTGTACCCCAAACTTGTTGACCAAACTGGAATGGTGATGTGTGAATCAGCAACCATATTGAGATAGCTAGAAAATAATGCAATGTACCCAAGAGTAGACTCTAATATTAGTTTTCTAATAAAGTCACTGACTCCGAGCAGACCATTTATTTAATATACTTTGAACTCTTCGTTCCACATAACCAATTTCCAGGCAATGTACAGCTATTAAAACATATTCTATTATAAAGCCCTATATGGCTTAGGTCCAAACTATCTGAAATACCACATTCCCTCATATGAAGCTGCCTGGGTTTTGAGATCTTCGGGGTAGGTTCTTCTCTTGGCCCCCTCACCCTCATAGGAACACTAGGTGGGAATGGACAAAAGGGCCTTCTCGGTGGTTGCTCCCAGACTCTGGAGATTCTTCCTCCCTGGAAAATACAGACTGGCTTCCTCCTTGTTGTCCTTCTGCCAACAGGCTTTTGGGAATTGACCGCTTTAATAAAGGGGCTGGTGCTGTGCTGTTTCTATTGCAATTGTTTGTATACCGGTATTTTAAACAAGATTTGATTATGTTAATGTTTAATTGTTTTTTAATGACTGTTCCCCCCCAATGTTTCTATGTTTTTAGTGATTTCTTGTTTTTATGTATAAGCTGCCTTGAGTCCTGTCAGGGGGGAAAGGCGGGGTATGTGTAACTAACTAAATAAAAAAATATTAAATAAATAAGCAGCAGTAGTAGTAGTAGTACTGTGGTACCTCGGGTTACATACGCTTCAGGTTGCAGATGCTTCAGGTTACAGACTCTGCTAACCCAGAAATAGTACCTCGGGTTAAGAACTTTGCTTCAGGATGAGAACAGAAATCGTGCTCCGGCGGTGTGGCAGCAGCAGGAGGCCCCATTAGCTAAAGTGGTGCTTCAGGTTAAGAACAGTTTCACGTTAAGAAGAGACCTCCAGAACGAATTAAGTACTTAACCCGAGGTACCACTGTAGTAGTAAACAATTACAGTAAGAGGACCATTCAACAAGAAGAACAGGTTAGACAACTCTAATTATGAACAAATTCCTTGATATTCAAATCTTTAAAATACAGACTTCCATACTTCCAGCAATAAACTAACCAATTGCAATCCTGTACCCACGAGAATAAGCCCCACTGAACTCAGTGGAACTTATTTCTGAGTAGACATGCAGTGGGTTGCACTGTAAATCTAATACTGTGCAAGCACCAGGGCAAACAAGAGAACCTATGAGAAGAGAATAGCTTAAATTAACCGAGGGATCTGTGAATGATGGTAAGATATGTTTACATGGTTGCCATCTAGAGGCCAGAAGGCAAAAGTGTGGGTTTTTTGAGGAAAAAGTTGGCACTGAGCATGCTCAAGGCCTGTGTTCTTGGGAGCGGTTCCAAGATGGATGCCAGAGTAAAAACTGTATAAAATAAACCAAGAAATAAAAGCCGCTCTAGTTCATCTTATCACTGTAGCTTGCATTCACTGTTCTGCACTGCTGTCCACTTTGGCATACTGCTGTGGCTGCCTCCAGAGAAGCCTTTAGCGCTCCCTGGCTTCCTCTTGAAATTGCCCCACTTCTGCCCAAACTATCGCTGTAGCATTTGCTGACGCAATTGATTCCTGCCCTGTGTTCATATTATTATGAATGCAGCGCTTGCATCTTACTGGTGGTGCTTGGAACGAAATCTAATTTAGCTAAAGCTTAATTCTGAGCGTCCCCTGGGGAACCAGCAGTAACTGTGTGTGTCCGTTACAAATGGAACTTTTTTCCTTACTTCGTTACTCATCGCAAAGAAGCACAGGGCAGGCTGCCATATTTTTCTCAGCATGAAGGGCACCGTGAGGTAGATTCAGGGGTAGATCAGTCTCAATAGCAAAGTAAACATTGAACATCTTGAATACGCTGGACTAAAGCTGAGCCACTAAACACCAGGTACTGAGCTCTTGTGCCTTAACACCAGGATGGGGAATCCTCAATTTAATCTGTCATACAGCACTAGCTGTTAAAAAATATTGAATTCACACTGTGCACAAACATAGCTATGTGTATGGGGGGGGCAGTTGCTCTTTGCTCTGGGAGGGGAGCAATGGGGGGCTGGGCTTTTTTTCTAGGCAGCAACAGCTCCCTGTCTTTTTGTGGCTGTATGGTTCACAATAAGGTAAAGGTAAAGGTACCCCTGCCCGTACGGGCCAGTCTTGACAGACTCTGGGGTTGTGCGCCCATCTCACTTAAGAGGCCAGGGGCCAGCGCTGTCCGGAGACACTTCCGGGTCACGTGGCCAGCGTGACAAAGCTGCATCTGGCGAGCCAGTGCAGCACACGGAAACGCCGTTTACCTTCCCGCCAGTAAGCGGTCCCTATTTATCTACTTGCACTCGGAGGTGCTTTCGAACTGCTAGGTTGGCAGGCGCTGGGACCGAGCAGCGGGAGCGCACACCGCCGCGGGGATTCGAACCGCCGACCTTTCGATCGGCAAGCCCTAGGCGCTGAGGCTTTTACCCACAGTGCCACCCGCATCCCCATGGTTCACAATACTCAGGATTAAATATGTCTTGATTCTTTATTGGCCAGGAGGTGTTGGTGCAAATAAAATAACTCTTCAGTAGGGAGCCTCTGAATGCAGAAAGGATTGTGCTACTTGCGTATTGAAAATATTTCACCGGCTCCAAATCTGGACAGTACCTACACAAACCAACTGTGTAGGTACCTACAGAAACTGTGTTGTACCTGTGTGACATCTCTTCGGAGACAGGATCTAGCCTGTCCACTTGCTTGGGAAAAGGTCTTGAGAAAACTCAAGCAGGAGCAGTGTCCCAGGAGACATCCAGAGTCGAATGTCTGTATGTTCTGAATGTGACAAGAGCTTTAAGTTGGAGCATCAGACTTGGTCCGGCACCGGAGGATGCACTCTGGAGAAAAGCTCTTTAAGTGTACTGAGAGCTCACATCTCACTCGGCCCCTGAGAATTCACACTGGACAGAAACCATATATGTGTCATGAGTGTGGGCATAGCTTCAATCAGAGATCCAATCTTACCAAACATTGGAGAATACATGCATGTGTGGAAAAATAATCAGTGCCAGCTCCGCCTGTAGCTAAGGATGCACACAGGAGAGAAGCCATAAAAGTGTCCAGAATGTGGGAAGAGCTTCAGCTAGCCATCTCATGTCACTCATCACCAATGGATCCACAGTGGGGGAAAAGCCCTAAATGTGTGTGGAGTGTGGGGAAAGCTTTGAGCAGGGCTCAGATCTCATTAACCATAGAAGAACTCACACTGGTGAGAAACCCTATAGCTGCAACCAGCTATACCTCAGTGGGTATTCCAGCCTCATTAAATGCCAGAGAATTCATACAGGAGAACATTCGTATATGTGTGATGATGCAGGAAATGTTTCTGGTTCCAGCCCAAGCTTCTGCGACATCAGAAACACTATGCTTGACATAATTAAATCTGAATGACAAATGCCCTTTGGTGGTGGGCAAGGGGTGCTCAGGCAGTATACAAAAACTAGAACTGAAACATAATCCAGACAAGGTAGAGCTGATCATGCTGGGTAGCCTAAATACCTAGAAAAGGGATGGAAATGCCTGTGCTGAATGACTCCTCCACCACCACCAACAGATCGAGTTTGTAGCTTATGAACATTCCTGGATCTAGGACTCTTAGATAGACAAGTCAAGACAGTTTTATCAGCTTTGACTGATTTACTATCTGTACCCTTTTCTGGGGCAGAGGGTCCTGCATACTGTTCAGGGCATGTCCTGCTAATTTACCAACTGGAGTAATGTGATGTCCTCTATATGTAACTGCCTTTGAAAGCTGTGCAATTAGTTCAGAATGCGGCAGCCAAATCAATCTCTGTTGTTAAAACTGCATGTAGCACTCCAGTTCTGCAATATGCTGAGATATGACTGAACATAGCACATCTGTGATCTGAAACCTTTCTTGCAGAAGAAAACAGGTGGACTAACACTGGGAAGGAACAGCAGGTCAGGCAGACTCACCATACTGATCAGCTGTAACAAAAAGCTGGGTTTGTTTCTTCATGCTAATGTGCTAAGTTCTAAAGCTGTGGCGTGGAATAGAAAAATTAAGGTGAAGCACATCACCAGGGTTGCTCTTAATATTGTAAATATTAAGTACAGAGGGGGGGGGAGAAATTGCTTTATAACTACTTAGCAAAACTCTTTGAAGTAAAGCTGTTATGTACTGAGCTGAATCCTAGAACAATAGGATCCAGAATGCAGCAGTCTGATTGGTCCGCAGGAGCCACCCAATCCAGCTCCAGATGAAGCGAATCAGCAACCTGATTGGCCTGCAGGAGCAGCCAATCAGGCTTCTGAAGGAGGTAAATCCGCAACCTGATTGGCCTACAGGAGCAGCCTGAGATTAGCCAATCACGCAGGGCCCATTGTGTAAATAATGTATAAATACCTGTAGCTAGATGTTTTGGGGAAAGATTCATTCATTGCTACTATGAGCTGAATAATGAGCTTGAAATTCACACTTGACTCCGAGTATATTTCACTGGCGACGAAGGTGGGATTCCACTGAGCTGACTGCCACGCACAGCACCGCAGCACGCCACACTGCTGCATCGCACCATGCAGCCAGGCTTCAGCTCTGGGACCCAAGGAACTCAGAATGGCAACCGACAGCAGCTTCTTGCCGTTCAACCCAACATCAGGAGACTGGGAAGGGTACGCCACCCGTTTCAACTTCCTCCTAGAAGCTAAAGAGGTCACCAACGATGCCACGAAGAGGGCGACATTCCTCAGCGTCTGCGAAGAGGAGGCGTTTGAAATTGCCCGGGCTCTCCTTGCACCTGAAGACGTCGCTACTGTTTCTTACAAAACAATAATGGAACGGCTAAAGGGGCACTTCTCGCCGCAGCCCTCAGTGGTAGCTTGCCAAAATGCCTTCTACGCAAAGCGGCAAGCCCCTGGGGAAACCATAACCGGGTTTCCATCTGATAAGAGAATTATGGCTTTCAAGACAGAAGGCCTTTTCACTCGTGTCTTCTCCTGCAATGTGTAGAGATGGACTGGCATCGCACCCACTGATCTGCACCTTACCGTTAGTTCAGGACCAGTGAGAAAGGCTGCAGACTTCATTCAATGTGTGTTCTTAATTTAGGTCTCTCAATCGATTTCTAAGGTTCTGTGATAAAGGCTTTCAAGCACCAAGAGAAACAGGGAAGGAGGGCGGGAGGTGGGCAAGACCCCTATCCACATCACAAACACTGGATATCAATGCCCCTTATTTTTCACCTGGGAATTCTTTCTAATACTACCATAGTAGTAATTTAGCTCAACCCTAGGACAAAATGCTTCTGCACTGCATTGTCCGGTACTGGCTTTTAAGCCACTCTAGACGCATGTAGCAATTTCCCCAGCACTTACACCAATCTTCAGAGCCATGGTTAGCGTTTCTAAGCAACAAATGTCAGGAAAGGGGAAAGGGGTAACTTATTTTACAGTTGCCTCTCTAAAAAGCAATGAAAAATGCTGGCGTAATCCAAACTATATATTTACTTATAGGAATGCCGTATTGATTTCAATGCAATTTACTCTTAAGTAAGTAGACTTAGGATTA